TCTGATCTTTGACTGAAGCTGTGCTTCCTTGTTTTCCTGTATCCCATGTGTTTCTCAGCCTTAAGAAACAATTAGATTAAATTTAGATTAAACTTGTCATAATCACTCATTTCTGATGATGTTGATTCTATACCTTGTGATCTATACCTTGTGAAATTGACCTCCTATATCTATTCCGGTTTGCTTCTTGAAGTTAGTATTGGATATCAAAGCTATTGTTGTTGTACGTTGCCTTTGAATCGATTCTGACGGCTGGTGGCCTCATGTGCGCAGAGAAGAACTACTCCATGGCACTTTCAAGGCTGTGACCTTTCAGAAGCAGATGGCCAGGCCTGTCTTTCAAGGTGCCTCTGGGATGGTTCAAACTGATGACCTGCCGGTTAGTACTTGAGCACCTAACTGTTTGTGCCACTGGGTATTAAGGGACTCCAGTATTAAGGCAGGATTTGAAAATTAAGCCCTAATCACAATGTAATGGGCTTAGTAGGCAGGTAAATGGTTCTCTTGTGTCAGGCAGATGACAAGTGCCTGTCCTCCCTTTAAAGCTCACATCGAGTTGTACTAGATAATAGGTTAACAAATCACCTGTCCACCTCACCTGGCAAGCTTTTGCCCCTTAGGGTAATGCTACTGAGAGACCACATAATAAGTCAGACAATAAGATGCCACTAATAAGTCCAAAATTTAGACAGACAATGCTCTAATGATCTATTGAAACTATCACATGGGTCCTCAAAGTACCTAAATTTTAATTGTTGTTAGGTGCCGACAAGTCATCTCTGACTCATAGCTGCCCTATGTACAACAGAATGAAACCCTGCTCGGTCCTGTGCCAGCCCCATGATCCTTGGTATACCTGACCCCATCGTTGAGCCACTGTGTTAATTCATCTTGTTGAGGGCCTTCCCCTGTTTCACTGACCCTCCACTTTACCAAGCATGATATCCTTCTTCAGGGAATGGTCCCTTCTTACAACATGACCAAAGTAGGTGAGACTAAGTCTAGCCATTCTCACGTCCAAGGAACATTCCGGCTGCACTTCCAGGACAGATTCATTAGTTCTTTTAGCAGTCTATGGTACTTTTAGCATTTTTTGCCAGCACCACAACTCAAAAGCATCCACTCTTTTTCAAGTCTTGCTCATTCATTGGCCAGCTCTCACGTGCATATAAGGCAACTGAAAATACCATGGCTTGTGTCAGGTGCACCTTGGTCTTCAAGGAGATATCTTTGCTCTTTAGCACTTTAAAGAGGTCTTTTGCAGCACATTTGCCCAATGGAATATGTCATCTGATGTCTTGACTGGTACTTCCATTGGTGTTGATTGTAGAACCAAGTAATATGAAGTCTTTGACAATTTCAGTCTTTTCTCCATTTATTGTGATATGCTTATTGGTCCAGTTGTGAGGATTTTTGTTTTCTTTATATTGAGATGTAATCCATACTGCAGACTGTAGTCTTCAATCTTCATCAGCAAGTGTTTCAAGTCGTCCTCACTTTCAGCAAGCAAAGTTGTGTCATCAGCATATTGCAGGTTGATAACGAGCCTTCCTCAATCCTGATGCCACATTCTTTTTCATATAGCCCAGCTGCTCAGATTATTTACTTGGCATATTTTTAGTTATTTATAGATAAATAGTGGATTATCTCTGGATTGGCTGGAGTGTTTAGACCAATAGAGTTTTTCCCGTCTAAAGGGATCCTAAGTTCATTCTTATGAGGACATCAGCCTAAACATTCTCCACAACACTCATGGCACTGCATCAAATATTGCAGCTTCACAGCATTGAGTACACCCCCTGGAGCCCTCAAAGTTCAAACTTGCACCACCGTAACAAGAACATGTTGTTATGAAGCATTTCTCTGTGTGTAGAATGTAGGTCCCAAGGTATTCATATTACAATGGCTCTGTGATTCTTGATCAGTGTAGGAGCTCTCCACATTCCATGAAGAAGCAGACACGTGTAATGAGAGAGGAATTGGGGGTTTCTGGGATGCACCATCACTGAGGGTCCAGGCTACAGATCCTGATGTGTGCTGAAGAGCAAGCATTGCACTGTCAACAGGTAATAATTGCTGGGTAGAAATAGGTTATCCGGTGAGAAAAGGCTGAGAAAAATGGACTCTTGCTAGAAGAGTTAAGAACAAGTGCCTCATGGCAAGATGTGGGAGACTATTCAAAAGGGACCAGGAGAAAGGAGAACTGCTAAGATTCTACGTTCTCAGTTTCTGAGCTGAACTTTTGTTCACAGCAGGTGAACGCAGGCTCCCTCCCACACTGAGACTTCCTCCCCTGCCGATGTGCAGTCTGTTAAGTAAACAGAGCCTTTCCACTGAGAAAGGACCATTTCTCTATTTTGGCTATGAGTTGTTATTTTTAAAGCTTCATCCTCTAACCATTTTCCTCTACCCTTGTTTATTTTTCACTAGAAAGAAAATGTGCAACTTAAAAAAATTTCAACTTCTGGACAAGAAAAACCACTTCTAGTATGTTCTCCTGCTTAAGGCCAACTTATCTCTCACTATGACTACCGCCTCATCCCCTTGTTGAGCAATATAACTTTTCAGGCTTCCCCTCTGCCTGTATAAAAGTTTTATGTGTCTAGATTTCTATGGTCAAACTGTGGCAATTGTTTTTTGGATGCATCAGATAAAAAAGTCAACCCCTCCTTTAACTTCTATGTGTCTGTTTATCAATAGAACAAAAACAAAAACTCACTGCCATGGAGTTGATTTTGACTCATAGCAACCCCTGTTGAGTTTCCCAAGGTGGTAAATCTTTACAGAAGTAGATTGTCTCATCTTCCTTCCATGGAGCAGCTGGTGGGTTTTAGACACCAACCTTCTGGTTAGCAGTCAAATGCCTTAGGCATTATGCCACCAGAGCTCCTTCAGCTATAACTAATCCTTAGATATAGCCTTTACTGTGTGCCAGGCACTTTGCATAAAAACTCATTTAACTTTATTTGAGAATGCTATGACAATTGTCTTAAGATTGATTTAGGTTAAATTGGGGCAGACTAACATTAGATGGTAAGAGGCTTTCTTTCAATGCCTTTTCTGGGGAACGTATCCCAATGTATTGCATCTGTCTTCCTCTTTGTCTACCTTGACCCTATTCTAGAAGTCTTTATCAATAATATTTATGACTGTCTTCTCTGTGTCCTAATGGCTAGCACAAGGTGCGGTAGATAAAAGGAGGTCAACACCTTATTCTGAACATGATGCATCATTGATGTTGCAGTGTTTAAACTACAAAACAGCTAAAAGCCCAGGCATGGGAAATCTGAAGATGTCATGAGCTAACGGAACACTGAAAGTGTAGGGCATGATTTATTAATGACCAACTTCTGTTATTGTGTGTTAAGTTTTCCATCTGTGCATCAAGATCATCAAGAACAAAAAGGTCTTTTTTTCCTTATCTATCCCTTGGGTACAATAGGTTCTGAGCCCCTTGCTGTTACGTCAAGAGTTCTAAACATCAAAATAAAAAATGTAAAAAGGAAATATCCGTGCTATAACTCAAGTCCCATTAGTCCACGAGGGCTGGCTACCTGTTTTGCTAATTGTTGTCATTGTTGTTAGGGGTCGTCAAGTCAATTTTCAACTCAAAGCAACCCCCTGTGACTGAGTAGATCTATCTCATGGGTTCTTTCCAGCTCTCTCTCCTGTGGAGCCACTGGGTGGGTTCTGACTGCCAACTTTTCAGTTAGCAGCCAACCGCTTAACCATTGCGACACCAGGGATCTTTCTTTCGCTAATAAACCCATTGCTATCAGGTTGATTCTGACTCATAGCAACCATATAGGACAGAATAGAACTGCCCCATAGGATTTCCAAAGCTGGCTACAGCATCTAGCTGCTAACCAAAAGGCTGGCAGTTCAAACCCACCAGCCATCATAAAGATTGACAGCCTTGGAAACCCTATGGGGCAGTTCTACTCTGTCCTAAAGCATTGCTGAGTCAGGATCAGTTCTGTGATGGTAGGTTTTGTTTCATTTTAATCTTTATAGAAGCAAACTGCTGCATCGTTCTCCCTGGGAGCATCTGGTCAGGTCAAACCAATGACCTAGTTAGCAGCTGATCACTTAACCATTGGACCACCAGGGATCCCTCTTTTGCTAACGTTGTTGTTGTTGTTGTTGTGTGCTGTTGAGTTGGACCTGACTTGTAGCGACCCCTCCTTGGGTTTCCTACTACAGATTGGGGAGAAACCACTTTCCTGTGTTGGACAACTGCAAGGAGAGGGTTGCAAACAGTGCAGACTCCTATGTAGAGGTTTTCCTCACATCTTAACTGTATGCTGAGTGGGCAAGTTGGTTGTAAATTCAGGAGTCGCTTGATGAGGCCAAAAATAAGTAAGTAAATCAGTTCCACAGGCTGCTGTTACTTAAATATATTTTCTCAATTTCAAATCTTCCACTGTTTTATTGACTGGAAAGTCTTGAGTTGAAAGGGTTCCAGGAGAATAATGTTGTATTGCCTTATGTCTCAGGGAGCACTTTAAAAAAATATATATATATTGTGATTTGGGCGAAAGTTTACAGGGCAAATTCATTTTCAATATAGCAGTTCACATATACTTTGTCTCATGATATTGACTGTAATATCCCACAATGCTACAGCTCCCCTTCTACTTCCTCCCCATGGCCACCTCTTCCTGTGTCCTTCCCTCCCATGCACTCCTGCCCCCTGAGCTGTCTCCCTGTGCATACATAGCCCTTCTATTCTCCCATGTTTGATCTCTCCAAGGAGTGTATCTACCTATTGTAAATGTTCAGCTCATTCGCTTGTCTTTTGTTTGGCTGGAAGCCACTGGAGTGGGTTCGATTCCAGACCTGAAAAGCATCTAGGGGCTTTAGTCTCAGGGGTTCCACAAGGTTTTATCATACCAGCAAACCTGGTCTCAGGGAACACTTTTTATGGTAACTTGTCAGATTGTCTATGAACAAACCCACTTTCTTAGACTATTTTTTTTTTCTCTGTTGTGTTTTCATAGAAACCAGGGGAAGTGCGTGGAGGGCATGGTAGAGATATTTGACATGCTGCTGGCAACGTCGTCTCGGTTCCGTATGATGAATCTCCAGGGAGAGGAGTTTGTGTGCCTCAAATCTATCATTTTGCTTAATTCTGGTGAGTTGATGACGTGGGAGAACTTAATTCTATGGTTGCTGGAAGAAATATTTATTACTGGTACTGTCAAACAGGTATAGTTAACTATGACAAAAGCAAAATATTATAAATTGAGAGAATCTACTGATACACAATTAAAGTAAGCTATCATTGTAGATGACGTCCGAAGGGAAAATCAAGAACCATCATGGTCAAATACAATGAATGAAAAGTGAAAAGTGGACATGGAATCAAATGGCCTTTTTCTCGGCATATTGGTGTGATTTCACAGATATTGGGGATGTTTTTATTAAAATAGTGAAGGTATATAGACACATCTTTGTTTACGCATGTCAAAATGTAAGTAGACTGAGTGATCCTGTTAAGAAATTGTGACCAATTCCAAGCTCCAGATCATAGGAAAAGAGGCTGATTTGAGACAGACCAACAAAGTGTCTGGTCAAAACTGACTAGCTGAAAAATATAGTTGGCTCAGAGTTTAAAAAAAAAAAAAAGCAAAACAAAAAACCTGGTCCTAAGCCTGAAGAACATGGAATGCCATGAGTTAGTCCAGCTGAAAGAGCATTTTTCATTTGGTCTATGGGGACAAATTCTGCTTCCCCTCCTATTTTCATTTTAGAAGCTTAGCTAAGAGCGGCATCTGTTTTATTTGTCGTGTGGTTGGCTGCTGTATAGAGTCACTCCAGGTCACCCAGATGGAAACTATGGTTCACCCTGAGTTACCACCCTGACTCCTCCCAGCCCCCACAGGATTTCGATCTAAGCACTAGATCCACAGCCTGTGGAAGCCATAGCTCACCATGGCTTATCAACTGCACAGAGAATGCCCCTCACCTGGACCCTTTGCCCCTAGCTCACCCCCACATCTGCCCTACACTTCCCTCTTCCAGAGAAATCCCACCGAGTTTGCAATCCCAGGTCTCTTTAGTTTCCTACTAAACCCATGAGATCTAATTCATGAGATACAGTCTCACCTTCCTCAGCAGCTCAGCAGCTGTTTGTATTGATCACATACATAGACATACAGAGAACCAGTACCTCCTTCTCTTCCTGGGCACTTCAGTCCCTTTCTGGTGAATGTCAGCCGCTTCCCACCTCCCCATGGCTTCTCCAAAATGGAAAAATGGAGAAGACCAGTTTTCCTCCTCTCTCCAACCCCTAATGCTAGTTACCAGTATTGCTCAATGCTTAGCACTGTAATCATTCTCACTTATCAACTGATAAATGGCAATCTGTACTATGACACTGGGCAGGGACTGAATTACAGAATGAAGTTCCATCAAAAATCATCTGATCTACACTAAGGAAGTGATTACCACTCCATTCAAGTTTCTGGTCCCACTCACATGCATTGTGCTTTTCATTTGAGCGGCTTGTCCTGCGCATTGGAGGGCCCAGATCCTACAATGGCTCTTTATTGGATGAGAGTTCTGGGAGCAGTGCCACTCGGTTGCACAGTGCCAGGTTCTGAACCTGCTCCTTCTTCGGGAAGGGCTGGCACACACACGTGGGTTCTATAGGGCAATCTGTTAACTTCAGGGAAAGCAAGCCTAGTAAGTATTGAGACCTTGTTCCCACTTCAAGCAGGAAATAATATCCTAGACAGGAAGTGAACTTAGCCAGAGTTGTGTATCAACAGAGGTGGATATTCTGATCTTTGGCATCAAAAATTATTTCCTTCAGATACACACAGCCATTTCCTGTATTCTATTATTGTTATTCTACTTGTATTCTATTCGTAGGACAGGGTTGTTTTTTTATTATTATTGTTTTTGTTTCATTTTGTTCAAAGTATGTAGAAAAAGGCAAGACTTCTCTCTGCAAACTATTAATAATGAGCTTTTCTTCTCTTGACTATTTTAGTTTTTAGTGTTTATGCAAGATCCCTAATTAGTACAAATGGTTTACACCCAGCTACTAATCTAAAAGTTGGTGGTGCAAACCCTCCCAGTGGTGCCATAGAACAAAGACCTGGTGATCTGCATCCATAAATTATAGCCAAGAAAATCCTATGGGACAGTTGTACTCTGTAACGCATGAGGTCAGTGTGAGTCAGAATTGACTTAATGGCAGCAGATTTGGATTGGGTTTAGCGTCCACACCACACAGTTTAGCATTTGGTTAGTTGGTGAACTGATTTCGTTAGAGCCAGATTTTTTAAGCCCCATGGAGGTGAGAGGAAGCATTCACCCCTCATTAGAAAATTCTTTGGTGAAGACTGTTACTGTAACCTCAAAACTGTCATTTCCCACTGCACGACTTAGGCCTCCACTGGAATCCTTCCAACACTAAACCTTCCTACTCAGTCCTTGTTTCTCCATCTCTTTCTCAGCATCTTCTGTGAGCTTCCTTCCTGTTAAAGGTTGGAAAATCATTGTGGAAATACAAGGCACTGGGTGCTGACTTAGTTTATAGCTATTGCTGGAGATTTTTTTATTTTTCCCCCATGAAATGCCAGAGCAACAGCTTGTCTTTTCAATCAAGGACAGCACTGCTGGCTCATAAGGTCAGTAACAAAACAGAAGCTGCCTCTCAACCCTATAAAAAAGGAAAGTAAATCTCCTCACTACAAAAGTGAGCTGTGTTTTGGAAAAGCGGATCTGCTGCTGAGCACAGCCCCTTGTGGCTCATATCATTCCTGAAAATCAGAGTCAAAAAGAACAAGGCTCTGAAGCACAAAGACATGGACCAAGAGCCTCTTTCACGAGAAAGAGCCACCAGTCTTATGAGGGTCACTATGATCAACATGTTTATCCCTCTACTGGAGGTATGGATTTTCCTAAAAAGCCAACCAATTCATGACTCTGAGCTAGGGCACCTTTTCACTGATTCTGAGGCAGATTACAAAGGCAATTCTTACTTCAGGAATCTCTGACAGAGAAAGGCAAGAAGTGCTTCAGGAAACCTGAGCTAGAAGATGCTTCTGATCCCTGGGAAACAAGACTTCAGTGTGTGGAGGAGCTTGAGTTTGTGCACGGAGGCCCTGTCACTAAAGTAGGAGGAGGCATTGTTTACATTGGTCCTCACTTTAGGGCAGTGGTACAAGGGGACTTGAAAGGTTGTTGTGAGGAGCTGCTAGCAATGTCTTTCTGGAAGTCTTGAGAGGGTCTCCCCAATGCCAAAACTTCCATGGGACATCCTCTCCACAGCTGTTTGGGAGGAGGAGGCATTTGTCATGATTTCTGTCTCATTTAGAATAATTGATTACTTTACTTGAATGTGCCCAGAATCATGCATAGGATGAACACTGTTTGTTTTTCCATTCCATACCAAAAGACAGAGGCATTCCTGGTTAATCCAAAGGGGCCTTAGCAAAATGAATGCCAGCTTCAAGGCAGTCTGATAACTGTCTGGACAGGACTCAAGAGTAGGACAAATAGGACTAGAGCAGATGAGCTCAGGGCAAAAGCCTGGGAGGTGGTAGCCATGGAGAGAAGTGTGGGGAGCTGCAGTGACAGAAGCACCCTGGGAAGGACAGCTGTGCCTCCTCATGGCATTCCTCAGATCCAACGTGACTTCACTTCTTCTTTCTGATCATTCACATATCACTCATTCTTCCAGGCCCACGTTATGCAGAAAATCTCAGCTTCTTCAGGAAATCTTGCCCCTGCCCAAGTCCATAAGGAGGTTTTGTTCTCTATACTCTTTTAGTTCTTAGAGTTCCTGCTGCACAATTTAGCATTTTGCTGCTTGGTTAAATTATTTCACTGATTGATTCATTCAACAAGCATTTACTGAGTTTTCTTCTATGAATCTTGTGCCAAATACACAAAAATGAATGTCACAGTTTCTCCCTTTAACCTGAACTGTTTTTAGTTCTTTATGTATGTATGTCCTAATTCTCCTATACACTATTTATCCTTCTTTTGTAATCACAGTCTCAAGCCTGGAGAGAGTCACTTTAATACACATTTATTTAGAGGGCATAACCGGGAGGACCTGGCACATACCCTACTTTTCTTATGCTGCTCTTATTGTTGTTGTTAGCTGCCATTGACTTGGTTACAAATCACATGACTTTGCATAAAACAGAACAAAACTTTGCCTGGTCCTGCACCATCTACATGAGCATCGGTATGTCTGAGTCCATTGCCATGCCTATTGTGTAAATTTATCACATGGAGAGTTTTTGTTTTTACTGACCCTCTACTTTAAAGAAAAAAAAAAAAAAAAAGATGTCCTTTCCTAGTGATTTGTTTTCCTGATGTGTCCACTCTGAACTGCATCAACTTTTCAGTATAATATAGATCTAGATATATATATGGTTCACACCCACCAGCCACTCCTGGGAAGGAAGATGAGGCAATCTACTTCCGTAGTGATACTGCCTGGGAAACCCAAGGAGGGGTCGCTATGAGTCGGGTCTGACTCAATGGCACATAACAACAACAAACAACATAGATCTAGATAGCATATGATAAAGAACCAATGGTACCAAAGGAAGAAGTCCAAGCTGCACTAAAGGAATTGGCAAGAAACAAGACTCCAGGGGATCCAAAATGGAGTCTCATCAGCGATCAACATGCTATTTCCCTCCAGCATCTTAGTGCTTGAAAAACTAGGTACAGCAGTTTGAATTAGGGATTTTGGTGCTTGCAACAGCTCACTGAGTCAGTGTACCAAACTCAGAGGAGCAGAATTAGAAAGGAGAAAAGGACGGGTGGGAAAAAAATAACAAGATCAGAGGATCTATCCTGTGGAGCGCCAATAGGCAGCCGAGAAAGCCCATCGGAGACTTCCCTGGAGGAGTTCCAACTGGTAGGCAAGAAAGGCCATCTGAGACCTCCCTGAGTTAAGGAGGAAGACACACCACACCAGTATACCAGTGACCACACCAGCATATCAGTGATCACCACAAGCATCTACCTTCAGCACCTGATTTTGTCAGTAATTTGGGTCAGCTAGGTGCAAATGGTCACGTCCAGCACCACTGAGACCCAAGTAGAGAGTTCACTGGTGCTACAGGGGGGCAGGCCTGGGAAGGTGCCCTTGCAGTGGGT